ATTATTATCATCATCATCATCATCATCATCATCATCATCATCATCATCATCATTATTATCAAAAACACAGTCGGCCTACTGTTTGTGAAGCATGCGGACAAAATGAGTTACTTCTCGGATTCAGATATATACATCAAGCTTATAGGCGATGTTTTTAGAATTTATAAGTATAAAATAATAAAAGACATGTTATAGTTAAAGAAAATGTCATAAATAGAAAATCTACAATTTTGACCCCAGTGTTGATTTTTGGCCAATATTTCCTTTTGTGGATTGCGAGAAGTAACTCATTTTGTCTCACGTTTATTTGTCCATAGGGCGGTCAAAAATTCATGGCGTAACGTATTGTCAAATATCTCCTCAACTATCGGACATAGACTCTCCAGCTTTTGTACATTGACTTGTATCAATTTGTCTTAACAGATCAATATTTTTGTAAAGAACGGTTAACTCCATTCTAGAAATACTTATAAAAAATCCTAGTGGGTAGTTTCTACTGATTTTAAAAGGTTTACAGCTTGGGCGATACTATCGCTCTTAAAAGCACGTTCGTCATTTTTTTTTAAATCGCTAGATTATCTTTATTGAACGCATGTTTTGAAAATTTTAAAAACAAAAAAGTGTTCACTATCAAATTAATTTCTATCTGGTAAGTAGTTTTGCCACTATGTGTCATTGGTGAGCTGTGACGTAACCCTTCTACGTAAACAAAAAATGTGTGAGAAGCGGGAAGTGCTGTGAACAATTCCTCTTCCCGAGTGAAAGAGATTTGTAGCATTTTATACAATAATTTATGAAGAAAAGTTCTTTAATCTAGCCTCAACTGTTGTGGAAAAATATGACTAAGTTAAGGAAAATTGAGACAAACTGCTGTGCAAAATGTAGATGACTTCGATTCTTCCGTTAAAAATATTTAATTTGAGGATAAGTTGCGCCACGAATTTTTGACCGCACTATAAGCTCAGAAATCAACATTTTTCAGGATCGAGAAAAAAACATGTGAACAACAAACTTTCATTCTTAAAAAAAAGTACCCAAATTAAGCATCCTTTCTTGCTGCTTTTCTTCAACATTATAGTCTGACTTTGGCAAAACATTTTTTGAGTACACGGGGCTAACAGAACAGATTAAAAAACAGTAATGCAAATCTTTAAAAAAAAGTTTTGAGTTAAGTACATATGAACAGGTGGGGGACGATATCCCACAATAAATCGTGGGTCATGTGTGCGTTAGTGTGTGTTAGTGTATGTGTGTGTGTGTGTGTGTGTGTGTGTCCGTATGTGTGTGTGTGTATGTGTGTGTATGTGTGTGTGTGT